ACACACGTGCTGCCTGCCGGTGAGACCAGGCGGGACTGGGAACTGGCTCTGCGTGGGCACCGTGTGGGCACCGCATGGGGCTCAGGCTGGGCCTCTGTGGACACGAGGGCGCCCGGCCCCGCTGCTGGAATGACTCAGCTGGTCAAGAGCGCGGAACCCTCCTCTCTCTCCGCCAGGACCAGGCTGCGCTCAGGCGGCTCCTCCCCGGTGGTCCGGCAGCGCCTTCGGGGCTGGTCAGGACCCGAAAGGCACCGAGGACTGCCGCACACCAGAGGCCAGGCCACGCCGCAGTGCTGGGCCCGTTAGCTCGGTGGCCAGCTGTTAGGGGGGAACTGTGTCCTCCCCAAATTCCCGTGGAGCCCCAGCCCCCATACCTCAGGAGTGACCCTACTCGGGAGCAGGGTCATTGGAGCTGAAACCAGGTATGGGAGTCTCGCCAGAGCCCGTGCAAAGGGGCCTGGGGCAGACAGGCGCACAGGCAGGGAGGCCGATGGGGTGCAGAGGCCCCGAAAATGCCACGGCGGCCAGCAAGCCACCAGACACCCCCGCAGAGCCACCCACCGACACCTCCTCCCCGGGGCCCAGCCTGCAGAGGACTGATGGTTAAGCCGCTCCATTCCTGGTCCTTCCTTACCACAGCCCCAGCGAATGTTTGTGGGGCCAGCGCGGGGTGGACGCACAGAGACAGCCCCTGGCCCCCTCAGCATCTCTCCCAGGCCGCGCATTACAGCACCCGGGTCAGAGCCCCCCGCGGCCTGGCTGCCTGCACAGGCCTCCGGCCGTGGTGGGTCTGCACCGGCAGGAAGGGCCCGCCTGGGCAGCTGGAACTCAGGCTGTTCTTTTCGGAAGGAAACTGTAAGCTTGTGGGAACACGCTTAGATGAGCAGCCGGTGTTTGGAAACATGCACATGGAGACACACATGCATGGAGACCGACATGAAGATGCAAGTGCACGCACATGTAGACACATGGCTGCACACACACGCGCACTTGCACACACATGCACTGGGGCTCACCACGTTCATCAGGTTCTCATGGTCTCCACTGTACTGTCTCGGCTTCTTTTCTCTGAAATGAAAAATAAGATGTCTCTGTGATATCACACTCGCCATCTAAAATCAAACAAGCACCCCCTTCCCATCCTAATGTCGGAACCCGTTTAACTGCCAAGGAAGCAAAGCTGGACGGGGGGTGGGGAGAACAGGGGGGAGTGCTGAGAGGGGGCGGGAGGGGGTGGGAGGGGCAGTCACAGCAGGATCCCCACAGGAGGACCAAGGCAGGATGCTGAGGAGAAACTGATTGTATCTGGAACGCTGGGTGAGTGACGCTTTAAAAAAAGAACCTGACACCTCTCCTGCTCGCTCAGCGTGGAGGCTTTGCAGGCTCACACTGCAGTGGCCTCAGAAAATAAACAAAAGACACCTTTTGGCACGTCGGGAAGGGCGCATGCTCTCAGGATGAGTCATGTGTACTTCCGCCCAGTCTGTGGAAAAGTCCAGAGAGTAAAAATAGAAGCTGTTGTTACTGGGACAGGCTAGGAAGCCATCAGTTCTAGCGCGTTTCCCTATGGATGTGTAAGGCAACAGCGCCCCCTAGTGGGAGACTCAACAACTACAGAGGCGGGCTGCCAGGCCTGGGAGCAAAGGCCCCTGGGTCCTGGAGACCCTGCCCCAGCCCTGCAGGCCTGGGTGCCCCTGGGCAGGCAGGAGGGCTCTGGGTTCGGAGAGCCCAGCTTTGCTTCTCCTGACGGAGCCACCGGGATGGGAGCCATGTCCAGAGTCCTAAATGACAGGGGCTGAGTCTCTCTGAGGCTGCTGGAAGGGGCGGGCTCTCACCTGTGACAGCTGGAGCACAGGAAGACGAGGAAGGTGACGAGGAAGAAGGTGGCGGCAGCTGCCAGACTTCCCCACAGCACGACCTGCAGGTGTCCGCCCAGCAGGCTCCCGGAGGGCCCCATGGCGGGAGCCGGAGGTGGCGCCGGCGGGCCCGTCCGTCAGTCCTCCGGACCCGATGGCATCAGGGCCGAGGGCGGCGCCCGCCGCGGAGACCAACCTGTTGGAAACAAGGTCTCTGGTGAGGAGACGCCGGCACCTGCTAACTGACTCTCCTGCCGAGGAAGGCTGCAGAGGCGGGCAGGGGGCCGCGCTCTGGGGGACCGCCGTCCCCTCGCCGTCCAGCCTTCGCCCCCTCCGCACACGCAGGCTGGGACCCTCCGCGCTGGCACGGCGTGTGGGCGGGTGTCTGGTCACACCGGCGGGCAGATTCCCCGGTGCCTTCGTGTGCAGTAGGAGCCAGTGCCCACAGCAAGCACACGTGTGTGCGCCGGCTTCTCTGACTCCCAGGCAAAGCCGTCATTCCTCGGCACTCCCCGCCGTCTCCCCCACTGCCCCCAGCTCCCCGACCTGCTTTTCCCCAGAGGTTGGAGGTCGGTGCCGTCGAGGCCAGAGGATGTCTCTCTCACCCCGAAAACAGTGGTCTATCCGAGCGGGTGGCTGCCTGTGTTCAGGGCCAGCTCTCCCTGCGCTCCCCAAACCCCCACGCGCAGCCCAGGTGAACGGGCCTGTGCTGAGGGACGCACCGGCGGGAGACAAGGCCGTGAGCATCGGCGCAGCACGGGAGCGAGCCCGACACCTTAGCACCGCCCGGCCGGGCGTCCGAGAAACGCGTTCTTCCCTCATCGCTGCCGTAGCCCCGCTCCCCAAGCCCCACAGCACTGCACGCCCCGCTCTGCTGGCCCTTCACATCCTGCTCCGCGGGCCCCTCACGCCCTGCTCTGCTGGCCCAGTTTCCCAACGAGGCAGGTGAGGGGCAGAGAGTTCCCCTCCAGCTGTCAGGTGCTAACTGGCAGGTGAGGCGAGGCCAGGCCTCTGGCTCTGAAGCCTGGGTCCCAGGCGCATTGCTTCTAAGTGCTCAGGATCAGAATAGTTTCCCAGCTCCTGTCACAGGTTTTGAAAAAGCCTAGCATAATCCGACGGATGGTGCTCTCTCATCAGAGAGGTCTTATTTAAAGACACTGGCTTTGCTCAACTCTAGAATATTCTCACAAGGATCAGCCTCTAACTTAATCTCAAGTTCCATGAATAAGGTAAACAGATACGTATTTTATCTTACAGCTAGGGGCCCGGTGCATGGAATTTGTGTACTGAGAGGGAGCGGGAGAGGCTCCCTCAGCTCAGCCTGCCCCCTCTCACAATCCGGGAGCCCTCAGGGGGTGTCCTAAGCCACAGTCTGGCCTCCCTCTGCGGGAAAGCCGTCAACCCCATCACCCAGCTGCTGCAGCCACCAAGGTGTTTTCACCAACACGGACTCCAGACCCTTCGCCACGAAAAAAATGACAACATTTTTAGGCATTTTCAAGATGTGTCTTTCATAGGATATGACTTTTCTTTCTTTTTTATCCTCGCCTGAGGATATTTTTTCATTGAGTTTTAAAAAGCATGGAAGAGAGAGAGAGAGAAAGAAGCATCAATGTGAGAGGGACACTTCAATTGGTTGCTTCCTGCATGAGCCCTGACTTGGGCCCTAGCCAGAGAGGACCCTGTAACATAGGCACATGCCCTTGATCAGAATCAAACCTGGACCCTGCAGTCCGCAGGCTGAGGCTCTATCCACTGAGCCAAGCTGGCTAGGGCAGGATATGACATTTCTTAGCCCTCCAGCAGTGGACCTTCGTTTTTTTCCTCCAGGAGTGAGGTGGAAAAACCTTAGATCACCTTCTTAGATTCTTATAATCCAAGTTACCAAGAACACTGCCAGTGGTGGCATACAGGGAGCTTAGCCGATCTGTGGTCAGAAAAGGTGTTTATGCTTGAACTGGTTTGGCTCTGTGGATACAGTGTTGGCCTGCAGACTGAAGGGTCCCAGGTTTGATTCCTGTTAAGGGCATGTACACCTTGGTTGGGGGCACATCCCCAGTTGGGAGTGAGCAGGAGGCAGCTGATTGATGTTTCTCTCTCATTGATGTTTCCTACTGTCTATCCCTCTCTCCCCTCCTCTGTAAAAAGATCAATAAGATATATTTAAAAAGAAAAGATGTTTTCTCTGCAGCAGAGGACCCCCTGCGTTGTGTCCACTGGGCTAGGGGTGTGTCCCCATAGCCCAGGGGGGCACGCCCCCCAGGCCAGCAGTCCTGAGTTATGGGCACCAGGTTGTGGGTGTGGACCCGAGCTGCTGCTTGGCGCTGGAGCATGCACTAGTGGCCGTGGGGTGGGAACATCTGATTGGCACCTGTGCCCATAGGCCTGGAGTGGTCAGGGGCATTCTAGGACCTGGCCACTCAGGGGCTACACAGGCCTCCAGGCTAGGAGCAGCCTGGGTCCCAAGGATGTTCCCAGGACCCAGGCCATTCTGCGCCTGTGTATGCAAATTAACCTGCCATCTTTGTCAGGTCAATTTGCATACTCACTCCTGATTGGCTGGTGAGCATAGTGGTGGTACGGTCAACTTACATGTTTCTTTTTTATTATATGAGTAAAAAAAAAATTTTCTTGAAAAAGACGGCCTGTTTTCATTCTTATTGGCTTTGCTGGAGGAGCTGTCACCTATCTTGCCATCACTGGCGACCCCAGCAGCCAGCACTCTGAGCACCCAGAGAAATGGGAAACTAAAGTTGTTCTGCAAAGGAGGTTCAACACGGCTAGATCTGTTCCCCATATATATATCTCCTATCTAATAAAAGAGTAATATGCAAATTGACCATCACTCCAATACATAAGATGGCTGCCACAAGATGGCGGGCAGGGGAGGGCAGTTGGGGAGGGACCAGGCCTGCAAGGGAGGGCAGTTGGGAGAGATCAGGCCTTCAGGGGAAAACAGTTGTGGGGGACCCAGGCCTGCAGGAGAGGGCAGTTGGGAGGGACCCAGACCTGCAGGGAAGGGCAGTTGGGGGGCAACCAGGCTGACAGAGGAGGGCAGTTAGGGGTAATCAGGCCAGCAGGGGAGAGTTAGACATAAATCAGGCTGGCAGGGGAGTGGTTAGGAGGTGACCAGGCTGGCAGGCAGAAGCAGTTAGGGGCAATCAGGAAGGCAGGCAGGCGAGCGGTTGGGAGCCAGCAGTCCTGGATTGTGAGAGGGATGTCCAGCTGCCTAACTCTCGAGGGACCCCAGATTGGAGAGGGTGCAGGATGGGCTGAGGGACACACTCCCCCCCGCCCCATGCATGAATTTCATGCGCCGGGCCTCTAGTATATATATGGTGGAGGATTAATAACAAAAAGCTGGAGAAAAAGGAAAAAATCCGCACTGCGTACACCTGCCCTGTACACAGACAATTCCAGAAGACAAGGTGGCTGTGCTCCTGTCCTGAGTCAACAGGAACTCTTCCCGCCTCTCAGCACATAAACGTACCCTGCCGGAGCAGGAGGGACCTCCTTCATCCCAGGTGGTTTGTAAACAATCCACACACGGTCATGGTCAGGTCCCAGGCGGCCACAGCACCCCACTCTCTGCACCAGGCAGCTCTAACGAATGGACATCCCCGCCCCTTCTCCCAGGATTTGCTGAAACAATGAACCAGTCACGTTAAACTCAGAGAGTTACTAAGACACACTCAGGCAAGCACATGTCTCGGCAATCTAGGATTCACGTGGGAAAGCTCCACGCGTGGCGGAAAGCACGGCACAGGTGGCCTGTGTGCAGGCGTGTGCTGCCCTCCTCCACCCTCTGCCATCGCGCGGCAGTGTCCACCGGTGTCTGCGGAAGCGCAGGTCCTGAGGAAACAGTTCTGTGAGTTAATGCGAAGCCAGGCCTGGGCCCCGGGACAGCCGTAGGCCTCCAGCACCCGATCGCCTCTGCTCCTTTCTCTCTTCTGTCGAGCTCTCTCCCCAGCGGAGGCCGACGGAGTACAATGCAACGTGTGATGTGCCAGCCGACCAGCTCCGCGCGGGGAGAAGGATCAAAGCTAGTAGAACAGGCTCCTGAATAAAGGTTGCAGCTCAGAAAAGTGTGTCTGAGCTCCTGGCTACTCCCCTTCAACTAGAATTGGCTGAAAAGCTACCAAAAGAAACACTTTCCCCCCAAAAGTCCTCCTTGTGGGAAAAAATCTCGGGGAAGAGAATGATCATCATCTGACACACGTTTCCCGGTCAGATACGTTGTGATCACCAAGGCCAACCTGCCTCCGGCTCCCAGGAGCCTCCAGCGCAGCTGGACAGGCCAGAGCCACACAGTCCGGGGGTGGAGTGGGCAGGGAGCTGCCCTGGGAGGGGCCACACACAGCGGCTCTGACCTCACACACACCTCCGAGGGGACCGGACTCCTCTGGTCAGCGCCCACTTACATGCTGGTGGCTTACCCACCAGTGGGACAGATTTGCCCTCCCCAGGTGTACAGCTGCACTGACCCCCACGTGTGCAGCCGGACTGACCCTCACTGTGCACATGCACACGTGACCTCCTTGCTCTTCCTTCTTGGTGAGGAGACCGAGGCCTCCTGTGAGTGGTCCAGGGCTCGTCCTAGAAGGCCCTGGCCTTCCCTCCACGGCTGGGCCCCGTGTGTGTGTGTGTGTGTGTGTGTGTGTGTGTGTGTGTGTGTGTGAGATTCATGAGCTGAATCAGTGCTCAGGGTCCTGCTTTTGGTTTGACCTGAGCAGTGCCGGGAACACCATCCTTCCCACGTTGAGGCTCTCCCCGGCCTAGCAGCAGAGGGAAGCGTAAGGAAACAGGAGGTGCGGCATCTGGGGGGTCAGCTACCCATTAGGAAGGGCCTGCCCCAGGCCACACACTGTGCCCTATGGACCAGGAGCCTCGTGGGAAAGACACTCCACAGCCCCGGTCCATGATACCGTTACTGCCCCGGCTTCCTCTACCGAGGAGGGTGCTTTCTGAGCCCCCAGGACGAGGCCATCCCGGCAGAAACGTGCAAAGACTTGGGGCTCTCCCTCCTGCTGTGTTCACGGTGACACTTCAGTCTGTCTCTCAGTCCTGTTCTCAGCTGCCGCCACCGTCCCATTCAATCACAGGCCATCATCTCCTCAAAGTGCAAACAGGTCCGCGGTCAGACCTCCTGTGTACACAGTCGCCGAGTGGCAGAGGGGCCCCTGCACTGCCCCCGCA